TGGGAAAATACCCGAACAAAGCTGAATACCATACATGTAAGTACCCGCGAAAACTTAAGAAAACATACATACATACACACATACATATATTTGTGTATACGTATGTAAAATTATATATTTGTGTATACGTATGTAAAATTAAATATCACTCCCACCTTGTTTCTAAGACCAAAGGATTTTACAGATATTGGAGTTGAGTGACAGGATTCTTACTATCGATAGTTGCCTCTGAGATGGGGGAAATGTAAATAGTTTGGGGGGTCCTTGGTGCTCCCTGAGCTTGGTTATTTTCTTTAAGAAGTTTCATTACCCAAATGAGGTGACGACATCAGTGCTAGAGAAAACCCCATTCCTTACTAGCCCTGGTAATGTTAAACTAATTTAGGCAAGGAAAACAACCAAGCTCAAAGAGCATTGAAGAACCCATGTTTCAACCCTGAGCTACAAATGCTTTCCTTTACGGAGAGACATTTCCCAGTGAAAATGTTGGCTTGCAGCATTCTGGAGAACTCCAGAGTGTTTCATTTGGTGGACATGCTGGCTGAGGTTGATGGGACTTGAGGTCCAAACTGTCAAGAAGGCATTGTGTTGATTTTCTTTTTTTATGGACAATTCCATATTGATACTCAACCCACAATGGCCACTCATTTTCCTTAAATTATTTCCTCATATTGTAGAGATCTGTCAATCAGCCTATGTTATGTGAGTCTACAGCACTTGGAACTTAGCAATGGAATGCGAGAACAGAATCCATTAAGATGTATATTTCCTAGAAGAAACACTACGATCATTCTTTTTCTGATCACACATCTCTGGTGGCCTTGATTTTGCAGACCTCCAGTGGAAGAAGACCTCCCGGCTCTATTCCGAGTCAGTCTTGCATTTCTTCCTACAAAAAGCTGATTTATATATTGCAGCTCCTCTAGTTTAGACTGCCCTAAATAGTTGTGTGCAGAAGCAGCTCAATTCCAAGGAGAAACCTCCCACCCACAATAAAGAACTGCTGGGAGCTAAAGCAGAAAATCAAGGAAAGGAATTTTGTTCAGGAGAGCAACACATGTAATGGTTACAAAAGGTTCTAGACTCACTCTTTTACTAGGGCAATTGGAAAGGATCACTTGTAATCCTTAAAAAGCTGCCCCAGGCAGTGCTAAACTAGACTGACAAATCAAATAAATACTAAAAAAATACTAAATCTTGCTAGGTCAAGCTAAGAACTCATTTAGTCCATGGTAGGAAATTTAGTAATAGACAGTTAGTCCAAAGTAGACATAGTAGACAATCGTTGGACATTCAGGAAGCCCACAAATGTCAGCAAGATAAACAAGATTGTCTTTCTTGATATAAGTAAGTTCTCACATTCCCCTTATTGTTGATAACCTTCCCCTGCCTATTATCTTCCATATATTTTGGACACAGGGCTCATCATCTCTAGCCATTGCCTGAAGATGTTTGGTAAGGTGGGGGTGACTAAGGAGGTATAGGCAGGTTGGGGATGCTACATAAAACAAAGATTATATTCAGGTGGAAAGAAACAATGTCTATTACTGTCCTTGTCCCTCTTTCACTGATTAGCTCTAAGGATCTGTAGCAAATTTTATTTGTAGCAGCAGGGTTTCTTAAATCAAAAATATGGATGTGCGATGTCCAATATATGATGTGCGTACTTTACAATTGCAATATTCATGTGATTGTACCAACCCAAGAGTGGAAAAGAGAGTCATAAATGATTTGACTATACATATATAATATGCTCTACAGTTCCTCTAAAAGACAATTACATAAAGCAATGATCCCTCTTTGTTGCTTGGATTGCAAATAGCATTTAGGAGCAATGGACCAACTGGAGGGACAATGCAAAGCCAGTTGCTGAAGTCTTCTTTTCTTGGTGTTGGAAAGGATGATCTCAGGAGACTCTAAGATAGACAGGGATAAATTACTGTGTTGGGCATGAAGAAGTCTGTACAAGTCATCTGACAGATTAATAGCTGGTAAATTATAAATAAATAGACAATAGACCTCAATTAAGAGGTAGCTATGGCATCTCTATCCCAGCTTTATAGAAATTTCAGGGTGGGGAGAAATGTTAAGTGTTGCTTCTTATGTAGTTGTCCTTGCAACGACAATTTCATAAATTATATGGTTTAATTTAGGAAAGGAAAAGGGTAACCCAGTGAGGAACATCTCCTCACACTGCAGCAGGTGACAGTGTTGGATAATATCTTCCAAAATTGAACAGTAACATTTCCATTTTGTGACCAAAACCGTATTCTGTTTTTATATCCGATTATCCTATAACTGCATAGAGATAAAACTACCATAGTCAACACTCAGCATAACGTAATGGGAATCCTGCTGGAGAAATGATGAAGAAAGGGCATTCTCATCCCCAGACTGGCCATCTCATCCCTAAATAAGTTCAGGGATGACGAAAGGATATTTGCAGAGTCATCTAATATCTAGTCCTTTTTGGTGGCATCATGTTGTTCCCAAGAGGTAGAGTTTCTTTAAGGGACGTGGTGGCTCAGGGGCTAAGACGCTGAGCTTGTCGATTAGAAAGGTTGGCAGTTCAGCAGTTTGAATCTCTAGCACTGCTTAACAGAGTGAGCTCCCGTTACTTGTCCCAGCTTCTCCCAACCTAGCAGTTTGAAAGCATGTAAAAAAGTGCAAGTAGAAAAATAGGGACCACTTTGGTGGGAAGGTCACAGTGTTCCATGCGCCTTCGGCGTTTAGTCATGCTGGCCACAGGATCATGGAAACATATTTGGACACCACTGTTATAGTTTTGTAACGGAGATGAGCACCGTCTTCTAGAGCCAGAAATGACCAGCACATATGTGCAAGGGGAGCCTTTACCTTTAGAGTTTCTTTCTGGAGTCATAAGACATTTTTTATTGTTTATCTTCTCTTTGTCCCCCTCCTGCAGATGTTTATGATGTGACATTAATTAAGAGACTTCTTGTAAAATTGCAAAAATTGAGTCTTCTGCTTTTCTAATTCCATCTCTGATCTGTAGTCAAGCCATATTTTCTTATGGGCCATTTAATAAATAAAAAGAAATGAGATGAACAGATTAAAGCATAAAATTAGATACTTCAGAACAAAGAAACCAGCAAATTAATGTGGAGATTTCTCCCTCAACCTATTTATCAGAGCCCTGGAGTTCTTGATGGATAATTTCCACATGCCATTAACAGCTGTGAAATTGGTGTCATTCTTAAAGGTTAAAATAAAAAACCAACTTCTCAGCTGAGCTGCTAAATATTTCTTGGTCATGTCCCCAAGTCCTGAATCAGTAATATTCTGTCCTCCTTTTATGTAAGTATATGGTTTTAAGATGATGGTAGCACAGATACTGCCTTCTGCATAATTTTTCCAAAACTATTTTTCTCAATTTTGGGGGGAGGGGGAACACTAATGGATGTTGTAATTTCTCCCTTTCTTTTCTTTTCCTCTATAGAAAATTAGGCAGGATCTCTTCTGAAACATTTCCCAGAGGTCCCCTCATTCTGTAGAATGAAATATTCTTTCCATGTTGGTCTTCCAATGTTCCTCTTTCTCCTATTCCCCCAAGGACATTCCCCCCATACCATCACACTTTCGATATAAGGGTCTTTTTTTTGAGGGGGGGCTTTGTATGTCTAGTCTGATGAAAAGAAGGACTAGGGGAGACCTGATAGCAGGGTTCCAATATCTCAGGGGCTGCCACAAAGAAGAGGGAGTCAAGCCATTCTCCAAAGCCCCTGAGGGCAGGACAAGAAGCAATGGGTGGAAACGAATCAA